TTGCTACTTGTAGCTTGCCTGTTGCTACTTGTAGCTTGCCTGTTGCTACTTGTAGCTTGCCTGTTGCTACCTGTAACTAGCCTGTTGCTACTTGTAGCTAGCCTGTTGCTACCTGTAACTAGCCTGTTGCTACTTGTAGCTAGCCTGTTGCTACTTGTAGCTAGCCTGTTGCTACTTGTAGCTAGCCTGTTGCTACTTGTAGCTAGCCTGTTGCTACCTGTAACTAGCCTGTTGCTACTTGTAGCTAGCCTGTTGCTACTTGTAGCTAGCCTGTTTTTACTTGTAGCTAGGCTGTTGTTACTTGTAGCTAGGCTGTTGTTACTTGTAGCTTGCCTGTTGCTACTTGTAACTAGCCCATAGCTACCTGTAACTAGCATGTTGCTATTTGTAGGTAGTTCATAGCTACTTGTAACTAGCTCATAGCCACTTGTAGTTAGCCTGATGCTACTCATTGCTAGCCTGTTGTTACTTGTAGCTAGTCCATATCTACTAGTAAGTAGTCATTGATATTGTAGCTTTGACCAACCATGTTGCTGTTTTTAGTTAGCCTTTTGCTACTTGCTACTAGAATTCTGCTACCTGTAANTACCTGTAACTAGCCAGTTGCTACTTGTATCTAGACTTCTGCTACCTTTAACTAGCCTGTTGTTACTTTTAGCTAGCCCATATCTACTTGTTAGTGGTCTATTGATGTAGCTTTGACCAACCATGTTGCTGTTTTTAGTTAGCCTGTTGCTAGCTTGTAGCTTCCAAGAATTTGCTGCTTTTAGCTTCAGGTTAGTTGAACTAAATGGAGAACTTTAAATCCTTAAAGCTGTAATTTTAGCCTTTGTTTTCAGTTTTAGCTTCTTGTACACGTCAGCCATCCTTCAGGCTGTATTCTCACTGAGAATGTGTTTATTTTTTATTTTTTACTTTAATGATTAACAGATTAACGTGGTTTTCTTTCTATCTGATTTTAGTTCCGAGCGAGGGTACAAGACATTCTTCCTCAACTTCCTGCGCAGCATGACCACTTCCTGTTACGCTGGCTCCGAGGTGAGCTGACGGAGCATCAGGCCTTCTAACCGAGTTACAGAAGCAGCTCAAATGTCCTGTTATTCTCCTGCTTCAGGGGTTGAGATTCTGTGAAGGGTTCTGCTGGGTTCTGTCGGGTTCTGTCGGGTCACTGACCTTCAGTAACAAGCAGAAGCTTCTGTGGTTTAAGACAACATGATGAAACACTCAGAGTTGAATCATGAGGGTTTGATTTGAGGAACAGTCTAACTGGAACGTCACACCACAGATTTAACGAGCCGATGGAGGAAACACGACGCTGACACAGGCCCGGCTGTTCTGCAGCGGAGGTCCAACAATCTGTTTATCAAAGTAATCCAGAGATAATCTGATTAAAGGCGCTCCACAGCAGCTAAAACAGCCTGCTGCTGTGTTTCATTGACCTTTAGACACAGCTCCACACGCAGAAATAAAACCTGTTTCGTCATCAGAAACAGAACTTCTTGTTCACAAGATGATCCGTTTCCACAGCTTCTGATCACGTGAGCTTCTTGGACTTCTGCTTTTCAGCTGCAGACAGTGTCGACTTCCTTTGCAGGCTGACTGTGGAGGGTTTGGACCTGCTCAGTTGCAGGTTCCTCAGAGGAAACCTGCATCAGGTCCAGGTTCTCAGGAAACATGGATCTGTGTAGCTCAGATCTTAGCAGCTGGTTGGATAATCTAATAAGCTGCAGGTCTTTGTACCAGCTCCCTGCAGCGTTACAAATCTTTATTCTTACGTTCCGTTTCCCATTCAGGAGTTCTCTCTGTTCAGAACTCGAGTGTGAAGTTCAAGGCTTTAAATCAAAGCCCAAGACGCTCAGTAACGCAACTGAAAATATGAGTTTTGAAGGATTTAACTTGTCCTGAATGACTGAGAGCAGAAAGTTTCTGTCATGATGTCAGTTCACTGATCAGTCTGACCAGGTGAGATCTTAACATCACCTGTGGTCAAGAACCCTGGTTCTGGATGGATGGATGATTGGATGATGGATGGATGGTTGGATGATGGATGGATGGTTGGATGATGGATGGATGGATGGATGATGGATGGATGATGGATGGATGGTTGGATGATGGATGGATGGTTGGATGATGGATGGATGGTTGGATGATGGATGGTTGGATGAT